CCCTCTCTCAGGCCTTTTACTCTCCTCCTTAGTCTCTTTTGCCTAATAACTTGTGATTTGTTCGATCTCGGTCTCTTTCTGCGTCTCATCGTTATGCGCAGTTTCTTCTGAACTTTTGGAAGGGGGCCCAGGTTTGCAGCCTTGTCTCCTCGCTGGCTCTCGAGCGCCCTCTTCAGGGCATGTGTGGGAAGTGCTGGAAACCAAGGTCTCCCGTTCGCTGGGCTCTGCCTCCTGTGCCCCCCACAGGTGATGGGCCAGCCTGGGCGCCCCACTGAGGGGTTTCCAGGATGTGGGGCTTCTGCGCTAAAACCCAGGGCCACCCCACATCCGTGGAATCACACTCCGCGTATTGACCTACATTTTGCTTTTACATTCTGCCCCCAACTTTATAATTTTTATAATTGATCTGTATTGGCACATCTAAGGGTTCGATTCGAATGTGTTATATTTGAGGACTTGTGAATCATCAGAATCAGTGCTTAGCAAAGAATCTCTGCTTCGGATTCATAGGAAGAAGTTTGGACAGCAATATAATCTAGATTTCTTTTTCAAGAATTAGGATAAGAGCGTAGCAAGTCCAACCCAAAGCAAATAGAAGGAAAGACAGACTTACGAGTGGAAATCAGCAAAGCGGAAATCAAATGTTCAGCAGAGAAAAACGACAAAGCTAAAAGTCCTTTCTGTAAAATGTAGTAAATTCATCACTTCTAGCAAAACCGATCAAGATAAAAAGAGACACATCGCAATCATCAGCGTCGGGAACGAGAGGCATCCGTGCAGGTCCTGCGAACAGCGAGAGGCTCATCAGGGAATGACGTGAGCAACTTTACCCCAGTAACTGTGACGATTTGGATGGAATGGACGAATTCCTCGAAAAACACAACTTACCAAGGCTGACACGAGAAAAACAAAATCTGAAGAGTCCGATAGCTTTTAAGGAAGTCAGATCCAAAGTTCAAAAGCTTCCCACAACAACAACTACCACGTTAATAAAATATTCCATTCGAAACCCTTAAAAAACAAAAATCCCCACAGCGAAACATGAAGATGGCTTCACTGATGAGGTCTTCCAGACATTTAAAGAAAAACGTAATGCTGATCTTACACAAATTTCCCAAAGAACAGGAGAAGAAAGGCCTGGAAGCCATCAGCAGGTGAGGGGCGGTGACGCTGGGGATGCGGAAAGGGTCAGAGCCGGGCCCTGGGAGGCGAGGACGGCCAGTGGCCACACTCCCCGGAGCCCGTGACCCTCAGCCGTGAGCCGCCTGCCTGCACAGGAGGTGTGCTGACGCTGACGAGACGCGAGGTCAGGCGCTTCGCCTCTGGAGTGACACAAGGGAGAAGTCTTCAGCCAATGGTTCGTGGGGGAAAGGAACATTTTAAAGCACGTGCTGAGTCGAAAGCATGTTATCAGCAGACACGGCATCGCCACGTGTGCTGAGGTGGCCGGGGGCGCTCGGCCCAGCCCTGTCTCCAGTCACCGGGACAGCAGCGCCAGCGAGTCTCAGCTGGGCCCGGGCAGCAGCCACCCGCCGCATGGGGGGCCTTCAGTCGACGGAGGACCAGCGTGAGCTGCCAGAGGCGGGCTGTCCGCAGTGGCGCCGGAAGACGTGCTGCCACGTGGGTGTGGGGCGTAGACAGGAAAGGGGTTGCCAGGCTTGAGTGACGCTGAGGAGCAGAGCTCCGTCGCCCCCATTCCTGCGTCCCCTGGAACGAAGCCCCTGGCCGCGCACCCAAAGTCACGTCTCTCAGGGGCCTGCGCCAGCTGAGGAGCAACGGCTCCAGGCGCCTTCCCGAAAATGACCGTTGATGTGTCGTTGTGACTGTTAGGTGTCAACTCTGCTTTTCAGTTTACCGAGTCCTAACAGTAACTTCCACGACAGCTCGACCCGGAAGGAACTTTTTTAACATTTGGAGTCTGTGGTCACAGGACGTGAAAATACGCACCGGAATATTTCGACGCGTGAACACGTTTTCGTCATAGGCCAGTGTGATAGGGCAATCAGCGTCATCCTTCGAGACGTTAAAATATGTGCAACGAGGCCAAGGTTGGATGGGAAGAGTGCACTGGAAATAGAGTTCGAAGGAAACGTAGGCTGTAAATTTTCAGGGCTTGAAGCACCAGGGGTCTGTTCGTTCTGCCGGTGACGGCAGGAATGAACTTGCTACGGCGTATGGGTTCCTGTGCTTATAAAGAGCAATTTATCAGTTTTATTATTTTAAACGTCAGTAAACATTAAGCAGATAAGCCAGAAATTACCTCCTTAGCAACCGTTTGACCTTGTGATTAAAATTTTAACTATCCACTTACAGTGTGCACAGAGAGACACAGTAGTTTCAAAAGTCATTAAAATTCATTAACGGAGTAGTGAGCAAAACCTGTGACAGCTGCCGTCGTCATCGTCGTGGGCATGAGGTGCTCTGCCGGGGGGTGGGGGGCTGCCCGTCCCCCTCAGAGGCCACCTTGCCGGGCTGCAGCCAGGTGCCCCAGGCCGAACCTGCCTGTGCTGGTCGCTTCCAGGTGCTTCAAGCTGACGTGCCGGGCCGTGGGCGTCCACCCACCCCTGGAGCTGTCCCACTACCAGATCAAGTTTGCGGCCACCTCCTTGTATGACATGTCCGTGGCCACCCTGTACGTCATCAACTCTCACCTGAGCATGAACTCGCTGACCCACTCTGTGCCCCGCATCGGCTCAGAGGACACCTGCCCCGTGGGGCCCACCTCTTTCGAGTTCCTGCTGCCCCCGGACTCGCCCATCACCATCTCGCCCTTGGTGGGGACGGTGTTGCCGGGAAAGGTGGGTCTGGGCCCCCTGGGTGGGCTGGGGCGGGGCGCCACAGCCTGGCTCTGCCCTTCCTTCTCTATAGCAGATGTGGGGGTCAACTGTGTCCCTCAGGACACCCAGGCAGGCGAGGGGGCCTCTGTGGCCAGTGAGCATGGCCTGGGGAAGAGGCCAGCCGCGGAGGCAGCGGCAACGCAGGCACCGGGCCGGGCTGGGACGGTTCGGCTGGCGGGAGGGCTTGCAGCCCGTGGACCTCACGGCAGGCGGGCACAGAGGCCTGGTCACCAGGAGCGCAGGGAGTCTGTCCACTGGATTGGTCCCAGTTTCCCCCGCCTCTGCTCTTCCTAATAAAGCAGAAGGAGCCCGGGCCTGGAGACCACCCTCTCGGCCGGCCCCCCAGGCCGTCGGGGCCTCTCTGAGCGTAATTCTTCACCTTCAGAAATTGGGGGTGACAGCCATTGTGAGGCCTGTTGAGAGAACTAAGCGAGAGGGGCACTTGGAGGTGCTGGGGGTGCCCAGACCCCATGGGGTTTCAAGAAGTGTGTTACTTAAAACACACTTCACTGAATGTAGCAAACGCTGCTTAAGTAATTGTCTCCGAAGGACTTCTGTGTTCCCCCTCCTCCCCCTCCTTCACCCCCTCCCTCACCCCCTCACCCCCACAGCCACCCATCCACCCGTTGTGATCCGAGCACCTTTGCTGTACTGGGCACTGGGAGAGCCCGGTGGGCAGCCCTCTGTGGGCTCTGGGCCTCCCCATGGGACAGGCTGCAACGTAAAGGTCCTTCGGGAACTGCTGAGCTGGCCCTGGGGACGGGTTAGGGTGCAGGCACTCGCCCCCCAATTTCAGCATCTGAAAACGTTTGAAGTTTTCTTTCTCACTGGTGTCTCCTGGGCAGTGGGTGGGGTCCTGGTCCAGCCAGGGCCTCCATCCCCAGACCCCCCACCCCGCTGGGGAGAGTAGGCTTAGTAATCACGCGCCACAGCCCACCCCAGCTTGTGGGGCAGAGGGAGTGGTCAGGGAGGCCTTCCTGGAAGGGGCATGCCAAACCGAAATCCCTAAGAAAGATGGGGGCTCGCACCAGGAGTGTCGGCCCGACCCCTGCGGTCCCAGGAGCCGTGCGCAGGCACCAGCAGGGCCAGCTCTGCCCTCCGGCCCTGTCCCCACAGAGGTGCCTGGTCCAGGTGGCCTTCCATCCTGTGCTGCCCAGCGAGCTGATCTACCAGCAAGTCTTCCAGGCCCTGACGAAAGGCTCAGAAAGCAAATCGGTTGGTGGGGGGCGCTGCGCGGGGGCCCGCGGTGGGGGGGACAAACACTGCCAGCCCCCGAGGGCCTCAGGCCCAGGCGGCCTGCCAGGAGCTGGTTTTGAGAGGTTAAACTTTTTCTTGGCAAGGCCCCAGGGGGGTCTCGGGAGGGGGCCGGCCCCTGTCCCAGGACTTCTACCTCCTGAGCGAAATGAGGAGGGAGGGCAGATCCGCCGGCAAAGCAGCCCGCGCTTCTTAGCTTCCAACCTGGAGGCCGAGCAGCCACCGGCCCGCAGGGGGGACCCCAGAGGGTCAGGCTGCCCCGCAGCCCGGAGCCGGTGGGCTTCTGCCGCGCGGGTGTCCTTCCAGACCGCACAGGGACCCCACGCGCTTCTCCGCCCCCCGGGTTTCGTCTTGAGCGCGCCTCCTGGAGCATGCGCAGGAGGAAGACGCACGCCCCTCCCCCCGGTCCTGGCCCGCTCTGCTCTTTGGCCTCTTTGTGCCTCAGTTTCCCTGTTGATGAAGGCAGACACTGCAGTTGGGGCTCAGCCCCACGGGGACTCTGCACTGGGCCCTGGGTCTCCCTGGACACTCGTCTTCGTTGCTGCCCCGCAAACCCATGCCCCGGGGGTTCCTGCGCTGGGCAGCATGGCGCCTGCCCACCCGGCCAAGCAAGGCCCTGGGGCAGCTGCGCAGCCAGCCTCCGCCACGCAGGCCCGCAGGGACACAGCCACCCAGAGGAAGGACCTGAGGAAACAGTCCCTGTCCACCTTGCGGCTGCAGAACCGAGACAGACTGTCCCAGACCTCCACCTCCGACGGCCAGGAGCTGCAGGAGCAGGACCTCACGTCCAGGTGCGCCCGAGAGCAGGGTGCCCCCCCCTTCCCTCCAAGCCCTGTGATGGGGGCCCGCCCTGTCCCCACGGAGGCCGCGGGCACAGAGCGCAGCACAGAGCTGCTTCGAGCCAGTGGCTGGAAGTCCAGGCCTGGGCCGGCCTCAGATACAGCTGGATCCAGGGGCTGCCGGTGGGGCCCTCCGCACCTGGGCATGAGCCCAGCCCATTCCCCTGGGGCCCGACAGCCAGGAGCTGCAGGAGCAGGACCTCACGTCCAGGTGCACTGAGCAGCCTCACTTCGGGGCTGGGGAGACGCCGCTGCCTTGACTCCCACATCCCCAGCCCCGCAGCCCCAGCCCACCTGGGTGCAAATGAGGCCCTGGGATGTGGAACAGGCCCCCACAGGAATCAGGGAAGCGGGTGGGAAAGCCAGCTGGGCAGACAAAACGGACAGCCACAGCTGGGGCCCAGCATGCCCCGCCCCTCATCCCTCTGCCGAGGGCCGGGGAGAGGAGGTGTGGCCTTGCGGAGGGGTCTACGGAGGGTGGGGTGGGGCCTCCCAGGCTGCTGGGGTACACGGTGGGGGCACAGGCGTGAGGGCACTCTGCCCGCCTCATTCCAGCTCCGAGGAGTACCAGGTTGCCCAGGCCGCCCTGGCCAGAACCTTCCCAGGGAAGTTCGACAAGTTTGTGGTCCCCTGTGTCATTGCCAGTGGCGACATCCAAGACAGGAAGGGGGCAGAACCCCTAAGCTTCAGGTGCGGCGCTCTGCCTAGGGTGGGGCACGGGCAGCCAGAAAGTCACTGTCCCTCTCCCGCTACCAACCCTCCTGGGGCCCAGGGGCAGGGGCGCAGTGGCTGGGTGGGCGGGGACCAGGCCTAGGGGGCAGAGACCGAGTGCCATCAGCACGCCCTGCCTACCCTCAGTCCCCACAACACCCTGTACCTGGAGCTGTGGTGTCCAGCGGTGGCACCATCCATCATAGTGACGTCTAACAAAGGCAAGACCATCTCTGACTTCGGGGACGTCGCTGTAGGTGAGCCCTGCTTGGGCCCAGCCCCCCACCCACGGGGACCCCAGCCCCCACGTCCCAACCAGGCTGGGGCAGGGCCTGACACCCCCGACCCGTCCAGGACACTGCGGCATAAAGAAGGTCTCCGTCCAGAACATCTCCGCCGAGGACCTGGCCGTATCCTCGTCTGCAGGCAGCCCGGGTGGCCTGCAGGGGTGGGACGGGGGGCTGGCCAGGGGCCACAGCCCCACCCTTGCCACGTCTCCTTGACAATGAGGCTTCAGGTGGACTTCTCCGTGCTGAACCCCAATGGCCCCTTTGTCCTGCTGACCCCCATCAGCAGGCTGCCTGCGGGAGAGACGCAGGTCCTGACGATATCTTTCTCTCCACGGGAGAGCATGCTGGTGAGTGACAAGCCCACCCTGTGCCACACTGCGCCTGGGACCCTGGGACCCCACGCTCCTCGGTGCAGCACTCAGGCCCGACGCGGACCCGGCTGGGCCCGGGCGCAGTCTCAGCTCCAGCTTTCTGGGACCCAGCCGCTGCCAAGACACAGCTCGCGCGCGTGCCTCTGACAGATGTGTGCTCCAGGCTGAGACACGGTCTCCACAGGCCCAGGAAACACTGGACATCATCACCAAGAGAGGCACACTCTCCCTGACCCTCCTCGGCGTTGGGGTGGCTTCCATGATCACGTGCTCCATTGAAGGGGACGTCCTCAACATGGGTTACGTGATTGCCAGAGAGTCTGTCTCTTCCAGTTTCAAGGTGAAGCATGCCACAGGGCCCAGGAGCCTGCCCAGCCTGCTGGGAAGGGTTTCTGCTCTGGGAGGGGTCGGGGAGCCCTCCCAGCAGCTGCCACCTCCGTTGCCTTCTGCAACAGAGGGAAGGCTGAGGAGGCCCCTCCCTCCACCTCAGGCCTCCCAGGGGCCCTGGTCCTCCTGCCTCAGGGCCTTTGCATGGCCCTCCCATCAGGCCGGGGAGAAGCTCCGCACAGGCACCATTTGTGGAGGGCATAGTTTGCAGGAGTTTGCAGACTCCGGGCGGCGAGGTCACACTGCCCTATGGACTGCCACTCCCATGCAGGAAGGCGGGCCTGGCTCCCAGCGCCCCCTCGCGTCTGGGGGGCACAGGCGCCTGGGATCCAGCCTTCTATAGGACACCTGCCACCTCGCTTGGCTGAGGTTGGGGCCTGGATGCAGACCAGGGCTGCTGGGAGGTGTTTTATGGAGGAGGAGGGCTCTCAGGAGCAGCCAGCGAAGGGCAGGGAAGAAAGCCAGGGAGGATGTTGCTGGTTCGGCCGAAGGCCGCGTGGCTTTAGGGGTTGCTCTGGAAGACTGAGGCCCCAACGAGCTGCCTCTGGAGGCTGGGCAGCTCGGGCTGGGTGCGCCAGCCTGGAAGGGGGCGTGGGCAGCCCGGACACTGGCGTCGGCACCGCTGGAGACGGCCGGCGAGCCGCGGCGGGCAGGGGCCTGACGCAGGGGGCTGACGCTCGCCGGGTGCCCGCAGCTGCAGAACAACTCCTCGCTGCCCATCAAGTTCTCCATGCGGCTGGACAGCCTCGCCCGCACCCGGAGCAAGGACCAGCAGCAGCTGCCACAGTTCCTCACCTCGCCCGCCCAGAGGACGGAAGTCGTGGGTGAGCCGCGGGGTGGGGGACGACTGCAGCAGAGGGAGGGGTCTCAGGGCCGCGGGGTACGGGAGGCTGGGAGGAGGACCATGCAGGAAGGGCCAGAGGAGCTGGGCGTGGGGCCCGACGGGAAGTCGAGGGGGCTTGGGGGCGGGGCGCTGGGCCGGGGAGGAGCGGGCGGGGCATGGGGCGGGGGGCTGGGCCGGGGGGGGGGGGGCGGGGCCTGGGGGGGGGCGCTGGGGCGGGGGGGGGGGCGGCGGGGTTTTTTTGAGGAGCGGGCGGCGGGGGAGGGCGCAGGGACCGCCTCGCCCCCCCCCCTCCCGCAGGCACGCAGAACCACAACGGCCAGAGCGTGTTCAGCGTGGTCCCGGTGGAGGGCGTCATGGACCCTGGCGCCACGCAGGACTTCACGGTGACGTTCAGCCCGGACCACGAGAGCCTGTACTTCTCCGACCGGCTGCAGGTGGTGCTCTTCAAGAAGGTGCGGCCTCGCCCGTCCCCCCACCTCCCTGCCCTGCCCCCCTGGGGCGGCCCGCACCGTGGGGCTCCTCGCCGGGCGGAGGGTTGTCGAGACCTGCGTCCCGCGTCCCGCGTCCCACGGGCCATCCCCCAGCCCTGCTGCTCCCGGAGTCCCAGTGCAGGGTGGCCGGACGAGGCTGCTCTGCTCCTTGTCGCAGAAACTCTCCCAGCAGATCCTCCTGAAGGGCGCCGCCCGCGAGCACATGATGTTTGTGGAGGGCGGAGACCCCCTGGACGTGCCCGTGGAGTCCCTGACAGTGATCCCCTCCAGCGACTCCGAGCGCAGAGAGGGTGAGCAGAGAGGGGGGTGGGGGTGGGTCAGGGGCATTCCCTGCCCATCCTGGGGTGGGGGCACACTAACAGGAGACTTCCGGAGAGCTCCCTGACACCCCCACCCCCCAGCCAGTACTTCCTTCCCCAGAAATGGAGGAGCTGAAGCCCATCCTGGTGACCCTGGACTACCTTCAGCTAGACACTGACACACCGGCCCCACCTGCCACTCGTGAGCTGCAGGTGGGCTGTATCCGGACTACCCAGCTGTCCACAAAGAAGGTGACCACAGCACTGGCCCTGCCTGGGCAGCCCCAGCCCTGCCTAGCCTTGCCCCGCTAGGTGTGGGGAGGGGCCGGGGGCCAGCCCTGGCCCCACTGTCTCCAGCACAGCCCTCCCACCAGCAGGTGCCACGCCCACAGATGGTCGAGTTCAGCCTGGACAACGTGGCGAACTTGCAGCACCACGGGTTCACGGTCGAGCCCTCCAAGGGCTTCGTGGAGCGCGGCCAGACCAAGACCATCAGCATCTCCTGGATGCCGCCGGATGACTTTGATGTAGGTGCCGCAGGGCGAGCCCAGGGGGTGAGCTGGGCAGTGCAGCAGCTAGACAGCAGCGCTGCCTGGTGCCGTGCCCGGTGGCTGAGTGCCCCCCGCCTCCCATTCCAGCCGGACCACCCTCTCACGGTGTCAGCCCTGCTGCAGCTCAAGGGCGATGTGAAGGAGACCTACAAGGTCTTCTTTGTGGCCCAGGTGGTGACCGGCCTCTGAAGCCACAGGAGTCTCCTGCATACCCTCAAAGCCCTCCCCCAATCCTTGGGCCAGGCCGAGCCTCCCAGGGGCCTGGGCCTGGGCAGCCCTCTGCAGGGACATGTGGCCGGGGCACCCCAGCCCCACAGGCACGGATGCTTCCTGCTGCCTTGGACTTCGTGACCCCGCGGCCCGGAGCTCCCTTGCCTGGGCCCCACACCCAGAACCAGCAGCGAGGCCAGTCCTGCCCACGGCCTGCCCCAGCCTGAGCCCCTCGGAGCCCCCACCCCCACCAGCACCTGCTGTCCCCACGGGTCTGTCAATAAACTCCGTGCGCCTCTGTATACAGGTCTGCAGTGTGGGCGACAGCGACCAATTCACTTGGGCGAGCACAGAGTGACTGACTAGTGGGAGGGTGCTGGCTGCACAGCTGGAGGGCCAACCGGCCCAGACCCAGAGCCCCAGGGAGGAGGGGGAAGGGGGTAGGAGGCGACAAACCCAGGGTGCCCCTCCCAACTTCCAAGATCCCTGATGGTCGACCCCAAGCGAGGAGTGCGCACATGTCCGGGACACACCCCTGCTGGGTCCTCCCTCGCAGCCCAGTCAAGGGCCCATGGTGAGGCCAGTGCATGGGTTTGGCTCCACATTTTGGAACTGAGTCCAGGCTCAGCCTTTGGTCTCAGCTAGCCCTTCGAGATGGACGCGCCCCACCCCGGCCCATGAGACGCTGCCAGGAGCCCAGAATGGTGCCTGCTCCTCGGCCCCTGCCTTCCAAAGAGTGGCTGGTGGGACACTGTCCCGCAGAGCCCACCCAGCCTGGCGCCCCTGTGCACAGCCCAGCGTGCGCACCCACCCCAGCCCCATGCCAGCCACTGACAGGAGTGGACAGCGTGGTACAGCCTCTCCCGGACACAGGCTTCAGGACCCCGGCCTGGAGCCACCTGCCCTCATTCATTTCTCAGGGCCCTTGGGCCTAGAAGCCTGCCATCTCTCTACCCTTGAGCTGGTGACAGTGACCCTAGAGAGGCACGTTGCAGGACTTCCGTCTGGTGGGCAGATCCAGGTTCCCTCATGGAGGCTGACCAGCCAGAGCCCAAGTCGCTGCCTCCCCGGGTGAGGAGAAGGCAGGGTCTTGCAGCCCAGGCTGGGCCAGGCCACAGGGGAGGGTCTCCCTGAAGGGCATAGGGCATATTCCTGACTCCTCCTAAGGCAGCCAGCAGGAGGGCCAGGCCCTGCCAGGGGACCCTGACACTCACTGGCCCAAACTCCTGCAGGTTGGCTAGACAGCTGCCCATCCTCCCCTCTCACACTCCCGAGCTGGGCCTGGAAGGCGGTGGAGGCAGGAGGGAGGAAACAGCCTGGCTGGAGGGGTCCTGGGGGCCACATCACAGGCCAGAGGTACAGGACAGCTTCAGGACAGAGCCCCAGCAGGGGTCAGAGATCAAGGAGCAGGTATTGGGCAGATCCAGGAACGAGGGAGCCAAGCCAAGTAGGCCCTGCCCTCAGGGGGGTGAGGTGGCTTCTCTTCCAGTGGGGGAGATGCGAGAAAAAAGGGGCAGGGTAGCTGCTCCCCCACCCTCCCTGGGCAAGGCGGACCACCCTGCACGTTCCCATGCTGACCCTCTCCCTTCGCCTGATCACCAAGTGGCAGAGCACAGGGCAGTGAGCCTAACAGGGCACCTAGGGGTGAGGGCCAGGGTTTTCTGCCAAAAGAAAGGGCCCCAGCCTTCCCCCGGCAGAATGGACACCCCGCATTCCGGGCCTACAGGGGTGTCTCTGGGCTCTGTGCCTACCAGGCCCATAAGTTACAGAGGCCACATTCCCCAGGCTGAGCTCCTGGAAGATGGTCTGCCCCCAGGACGCTGCGAGGGCCCAGGCCGAGCCCATTCCCGGTGGGCTGGCCCCAGGCCGGCCCTGGACAGCGTTCGCGCGCCTGCCGTGTGCGAACACGCACAAATAAAGGTCGTTTAACAGCGCTAGGGACGCGCCAGGGGCTCCGCTGTCTCAGCCCTTTACCTCGAGCACCGCGGTGTGGACCAGGTTTGGTCACAGGTGTCCCTGGTCGCCACTCTCCCAGAGGGCACCCGGGTCCACATCGAGCCCGACTTCAAGACAGGCTAGGGACTCCGCGCCTGGGCCCAGGACGAGACCGCCCCCAACCCCAAGATGCTAGGGGACTGGCCTGGCGGGGAAGCGGGTGGTCACAGGGCGGGGCTTCGGAGGGCCGCGCCGCAGGAGCCGGGCTTCCAGTGGACAGGGGCTCGCGGGGGGCAGCACCGTGGGGCGAGGGCGGAGCCAGGGGGGGGGGGGCTC